GACTTCACTGAGGCCAGAATGTTGATGAGATGCACAACTAGGTTCAAGTTTTTCAACATTTTCCTTTGCTCTCTAAAATTATTTTTTTTTCAAAAATAGAAACTAAGAAGGGCTCAAGTCAGTGATTCTCTTTATACCCACAGCAATATATAAAGCTGTATCAAGACATTAAGCCATATTAAGAACTTTAGTTGTGAGTTTACTGTATTCAGGCTTTTATTGTAAAAATCAATAACATTGACTCTTCTTCACTACTGTGTGAAAAGGAGAATTTTGCAGGTAACTAACACTTATTAACAACTATGAGGCTAAAGCAGTAAAAGGGAAAACACACTTAAAATTGAGTTAACTCTTGAAAGCAAGTATAATTCCTCAGATGTTACAGAACTTAAAATGAAAGTTTAAGAAATTATTTCCTATTTTTAAGATGTAATTTAAATGATATGCAGTTAGCTAAGCAGATAAAACACTGCCCTAGGTACTGCACTAGCCTACAGTGGGGGCAGAGGATGAGGGCACATCAGCACAGCCAAGAAAATATAATTACCCTGGATTCTTTGGTTCACTGTCTCGTGAACTTCCTCCCTTCAGCTTTCTAACCAGCTTCTCACTGCTGCGTCTAATGGAAGCACGGAGCTTGCTAAAGGAACCACTGCGTTTTAAAGATCCAGTGCCATCCTGAAAGAAATTGAACAAATGTGAATGTGCAAGAGTTTGTCACCCTCCCCCACACCTGGCTCAATAACATTTTGTTGGTGAAAAGAATACTTTAAATTGGTATTAATACATACTTGGTACAATTACCTAAACACAGATTATCATATAGCAACAGCCTTACCAAAACAAAAGGGCTCCTTCCAAACCATAACAAAGCTTTCCAAAACGTGAAGACACACTCAAGCCATGATTCATAATGATTAATTAAATCCCACCACAGTAGTCAAACAATTCACCAGCACCATGTTACCATTTCATATCAACACACTGTGGTTAACAGAGTAGAAAGCCCAAGCAAAAGCATTCCATCACAGCCCAAGAAAAAAAAAAAAGTTTTATTTTTTTTCTAAACATCTACATTACTTGCAAACATGTTTGTTTAATCCTAGAATCCTTAAGCAAAAGTATTTCTGATCAGAAAGATATCTGGTTAAATTTCTACACTTCATTTTTTAAGATGTAAAACATGATGACCTTTTCATATGTTGCCTTCATGTTTTACACTGCTGTGCTGATCCAAAGAAACTTCTAACTGACCACAATTGTATTTTTAAACATTTTACTCTTGAAAAAACAACCAAAAATTTTAGTAAGATTAGAAGTGACCACTTCCTTACTTTACAGAAATCCTAAGTGATTATGCAAGGAGAATTGTAAAAGAAGAAAATAAAGTACTACTAAGCAGACAGACACCTGAGTTGGAGTGAGTTTATTAGAAGTTAGAAAGACAAATACACAAATCACTGAACACCAAGATTAGTAGAGAAAAGCATAATTGCCAAAATCTCACACAAAGACTAAACAGCAATGCTACTTTAGAATAATCATAAGTGAAGACATCCAGAGTTCCATATTGATGTTAACCATGTAATAGGTCTCTAAATACATTTTAAAGCACTTGGAGAACATGCCTTACTGTTACAAGTTTTGGTTTGGTTTTCTCCTGTAGAGATCACCATCATGCCATTTCAATAATACCTTGTGTGATACTTTTAACTACCTTTTTTCCATAGTGAACAGCTACTTATAAAGTTCATTGATACTTTTTTTTTTTTTACTAATGTATTACACAGCAAATGGTTGTAATAACATTTTGTATGACTAGATACATATCTGGCAAAGCTACACATGTACAGAAATAGAAAAACCAAAAAAAGACACCAGCACTGGAGGAATGGCCAGTTTACAGGGAAGTGTAGCTCTGACAAGAATCTTAAGGGGTTTGCTAAAACACAGCAGTCAGTACTGAAGAGAGAAGTTAAAGCTTGAAGATGGTGCACGCCCGTCATGCAGGAGACAGTATAAGAATCACAAAAGGCATCTAGGCCTGTCAGAAATGGAGAGAGAAAAACTGAATGAAACTGTTGGGAAAAATTCAACAGTTTTCAATTTTGAACAGTTATGTTTACAGTATTTCTAGGTCCCATTCAAAATATTTTTTTCTGGAGTAAGCATCTGGACTGCCCTTAAGTAGAAAGTGCAGGCCCTTTATACATCTTTATACAGTTTTGCCTATGTTACTAATATCCAACTTACAAACAAGCATGAATGATGCTGGGCATTCTTTCAGTTAGCATGTGCATAAAATACAAAACACCTTTAAGAAGGGATGGCTTTAGTATTACATTTTGTAAACAATGAAAGGATTTTTTTTTTTTTCAGCTGACGTTAACACAAAAAGAAAAGTAAAGAATAAAACAAAAACAGAACAAAGGAACAGAGCAAGGTGCATTCATTTCAGCTTTAACTTCTGTCAGGAATCCTTCCTTGAAACAAAACTGCAAGGATAAAAAAGTCTTTCCCTAACCTCCAGACAAAATTCTGTTTTTTCCTTTAAGGAACTAGAAACCAACTGACCTGTCGCAATTCAGTTTCATGAATATTTTTTATAGAACATATCTATGTATATCTGTATAATCCAAGTGGAAACTTTTCTGCTTTCCCTAATGTAGTGAGGCAGGTCAAAGAATCCAGCTTTAAAAATAAAATGTAGGTCAATTTACATACTTTCCATCTTAGCATAAGTACAGAGACCATTCCTGATAGTCTTAAGATAACTGTTTTGAGGGCCTTTACCTACAGCAGCCAGAATGAACAGTAATTAAGATTATTCTTGGAAATGGAAAAATCCCTTGCTACCAAGTCATTAGAAGATCAGTATCTAACCAAGTATGTATTTTTGTTAACTAACACATTAGGAATAAGCAGACAAGCTTATAGGTACTTAAAATCTGAAATAAAAACATCAAACCCCCAGGTTAAATACTGACTGCATGATTCACAAAACACCTTTAAAACATAAACTCAGGATTTTTTAAAAATCCAGTGTAAACAAGCAAAAACACCCAACCCAAATCACAAGAGATATCAATTCCTATGGCAATGTTTATTTGCCAATTTTTATGTCACTCAGAACAAGAACCATCTTATTACTGTTGCTTATGTCCCTCTGACTGACACTTCTTATTAAATAAGAGAACCTCTTAACAGCTGGTCTACAGTGGTGACATTTACTGCTTTTGCTTCACACCTACAAGCAGTTTTGGGTGCCCAGAAGTCTTTTTGAAGCATACGGATTAGATTAAGAAATTATGCTTCCTCACACTAAGAACACTACCTTAAATGAGGAACTATCACATCATGAAGATTTTCATCTGTCCTGCGAGTGGCCGCAAGACCGATTTACAAAATTGCTACTTACAGATACTGTAATTTTAAATATACAAATATAATAAGAGATACAAAACTTGGGATTTCTACCTCGAATTTTTAAGACCAAGTATTTCTTTGCATTTTCAAATACCTTCTGCTAACTTTAGGGAATGCATTTATCAGGAACATGTAAATGTGCACTATACAAACCTCACTTAACACATCTGTTTTAATAGTTAATGGCAGGTATCAATAGACATTTGAGGTTTTTTTGTAAGAGTGTGAGGCATCACATCAAAGCATATAATGCTTAATGTGGATTACACTACATATGAAAGCCACTTAATTACAATAAGCCTTCCAACAGCATTTTTTGGAAATTAAGCTGTTTTACACACTCCACCTGTTCTGAGAGCCAAGAGCATAGGCCAGCTTGACCACTTCAGAAAAAATTAAACGAAGAAGACAGGCCTCTCTGCACACACAAGTCAAACATTCTACTGCGCTTTATGAATCAGAATATTTTGTCTGGAGGGAGTACAAGAGGATAAAAAAACCTACACAGTATGAAGTAGAGGGAAGAACAGCACTTAGAAACAGAAGCGGGATAGAGGGAGAGAGAGTTGCCCACTTTATGTAAAACATGTAATACAAAATACCTTCTCTTAAGAGGGAAAGAAGTAAATAACAAAGATGAGAATAAAGCAAAGCGACTTCAGCACACTGAAAATTATAAGTTTATGTGCCCTGAGAGGTCAAAATTTCATTTTTCAGATCAACAAATTTGATCACTGAGTTTGATTCAAATATTGACCTAGAAATACTGTCTATCACTTTTCCATAGAAGGCCCTTTTCAATTTAAAACCTGCATGCTTGCTTAATTAATGTCACTAACAGAAAAAGTTTAATCCATTTAGAACATACAGTCATGCAAAGTACAGTGAAATTAAGGGAGGAGTACAGTACACAGTCTAATGCTGAATGGGCAAAATGAGAATTAAAAAAGGAGTTATCCAACCTTACTTTGGCTTTATTAATGATGCAGTATTATTCACAATAGATGCTGATTGACTGTCTTGGCACTGAAAACACCAATGCCAAGAAAACAATAATAAAGAGACAAAAGCAAAGATGCAAAGAACTTTTTACTTTAAGACTACAGCAGTATGTGTTCTATCAAGGTTTCTTTGGAATGCTAAACTGTGTCTCATGTGGCTAAAAAAAAAAAATATAAAATTGCTATTGTAAAGAGAAATTGAACTTCAGAACACTCAGTATTGCAAAGTAGGCTACTTCCCCTCCCATACAGCAAAAGCAGGCAACACCACTTCTATAACCTAACAGAATCTTTTCAGCAGACCTGCAGCTAGGAGTTAGTTAACAGTGCAATGTATCTATCCCATTGCCAGCAATGGGATAAAGCATGTGAAAGCTGGTGACAGAAGCAAACAACTACATAAGCCAGATCAGTAACTGAAAGCTTGCACTGCCTTTCAAATTATAGGAAAACAATGGTTAGGAAAAGGCATATGTAATTACATGATATATATGTTTTTACTTTATGACAATCAGTGTTATACAGTGAAGCCAGTATATGGGAAACAAATACGAACAAGCCCTGACTCCAGTCAAATTCTAATACAGTGAAGTTGTATTAGTATTTCACTTAAGAAATGTAAAGTTACTATCACATTGTTATGTGATGGCCTCTTAACATGGATTGTATAGCAGCTTGAAAAGTTAAGTTCTTTCCTCTAACAAGCTGAGTAAGGAGGAGATGGGAATTTTTTCAGTGTTAGACGGATAACTTTAATTTACTCTTCAACTGCTAACACTTAATACATCTCCATAGCAAATGCTCTCTTTGATTCCAACAGATGCAGTATTTTTCAAGAAACATTTAAAATACAGGCAAATATGGCATCAATAGGACAAAAGCAAAGTAAGTTAATTGCCAGAATATTTCTACCAGGAAAAAGAAACCACTGACAAGCAATTGTACACCAGACCATAACCAGGACACTCAATCAGCATTAAACAACTTCGAGTTAAATACAACTACTTGGGATTCCTGAAGGAATTTCACTATTCAGGACAACAACAGAAAGGAAGTTTTAAAATTTTATAATGTTACAATTATTTTTTTAATATATATATTGCGCTATGATAAAAAAACGTTATTTTTAATTTCTTAACAGATTCTGCAAAATTACAAAATAAAAAGTATATCAACCAAGAAGCTACTGAAAACACTGGTGGACAACCCTATTTGTCACAGTGATCATTTATCTAGGCTATTTTGTTAAACTGTGTACTGTACTTACCCCATTCCATTCTACGCTCATACTCACTTCCTCGCCTCCATCAGGGCCACTCTCGTACTTTACCACATCAACATTGAGGCTCTCCCGGCTTCGCCTTTTTTCTATGCTCTCAGGGTCATTCAGCACTTCAGCAACTCTCTGTTTATGAACATTGTCAAGACCCTGAGAATTAGATAAAATGGGAACAGGCTTTACTTTATTACAAGCTGTACTCATCTACAACTTACACACAAGAACTGTATCAAGGAAGAAGTCAAACCAACCCGTAACTCCATCACTCTGTTTCAGCTTTGAAAGGGCAGCTGAGCTGCCCTTTATAAATTGCAGGAATCAACATGGCATGAAGGGGACAGGCAGTTTGGGAGTTTGATAATTCAGCAACTTGCCATTCTTTTCCTCCTTCCCTATCACTTGTCAAAGCCTCATGGTGGTCATGTCACAGGGACAGGAGTTGGACTCGACAATCCCGATGGGTCCCTTCCAACTCAGCATACTCTACGATTCTATGTCACCTACCTGAAGCTATGTGGCCACCAGCTTAGTATTTAAGCAATTGATAGATCATGAACAGTCAATGCAGTTCTCAGTTTTTCACTTATGAAATAATGCAGCATTCATCTTCTTTGGAAAGAACATTACAGGTGTCTGAATATCTAAGACACAGGTTGTGTTACTTAAAAATACTGACATATGACAACTGGCACAAGAGGATCATTTATCAAATAGAAAATAAGCTTTTAATTGAACAGAATATATATGGTCAATAAAAGTATGCGTTAAAGAACACCCACCATCTACCAAACATGCCTTACAGTATCTTAGAAGTGCTAAAATACCTTCTATGAAAACCCTGCACTAAAAATAAAGGCAAAATCTTTAGCACAGAAACTTGAATGTAACAAAGCTCCAATCATACTAATTTTCAGTTTTCTTTTCTTTACAATAAACCTACTCCACATCATAAAATGTATTTTCTGACAGAAGAGATGCTAGATTAATGCTTTACAGATAGAGAAAATATTCTGCATCTTTCACTGTGCAGCCTTAGTAGCAAATGCAGCAGGGGAACTTAAGCATGCTTAATAAAAATAAAGTAGCAGCATCAAGCCTCCATCAGGCTCTATAGAAAATAGAGACAAGGAACAGTTTTTGCAGTGGCACCAGCAAGCTGTAAGTGGGCTAACTGAACAGTACTCTAGAAGAGAATTCTCCAATAGCAAGGTGTTCCCATCCTTAATTTCCAAATAATCAATTCCAAGCTTCCCAATAAAAATGTGAACTTGAAAAGCTGGTGTTTCTATTTTTTCTTTATATAAAAAAATTACATAACACATCACTACAAGCTAAGTTTTCTTCAAGTCTTTTTATTACTATTATATTATGCCAATTAATCCCATTTGTATCTGTTTCACACTAAAAAATTATCATGTGTAATGGCAAGAGTAAAACTAGGAACCAAAGCAAGCATGTTAAGAAGCAGTGCATGTTCATTTCTTATATTCAAAACACATTTGAATGAGACACACCCGAAGTGAACCTTCAGTAAAAGTATGTGAAAATCACCCTCATTAAAAGAAAGTATTTGCGTCAACTATTTCCCCCCTACCCTTCAATTTTCTTTGCTGAAGAACTTATCTCCCAGGTTAATACTTTCCTTTTACCAATTTCATTCCATTTAACTCCCAAACACGTTTTCCATCCTTTTTTGTGGAAAAAAGAACTTATCCCACTTTCCATCAAAGGGAGCTGCTGCTGAGTTCACTAGAAGAGCATATGGTTTGCCAGAAAGTTTTTTGCTTTCTTGCTTTTCCAGAAATCTGCCTCTCTATACATCAAACACTGCAGTATCAATCTTTGAAATACAACTTCAAATAGGTATAACCAATAAAAAACAGCACCTTGTCAATAAAGATATGGTCTATCACCTAAGTTATGAATAACTTGAATTTGGAATTTTAGCTTAGAATTTTACATGGACATAACATGAAAAAATCCCAACAGACAAAACAAACCACTTCTGAATAAAATACAAATCCTATTAACTGTTGCCTAAAAATGAAATTAAACTTTGAACTTTCAAAGTTTTTGTTTATTCATTTATATTTTCTTATTTTGCATTCCATTTTAACACTCAGTGACAACCCACGTTTTTTGTCCAGTCTTTTATAGAAGACTTTGCATCAAATCACCCAAAAGAGAAAGGAAAAACAAAAGGCCAATAAAACTCCAACAAAACAAACTCTTTCCCATGTTATAAGACAAAGAAAGGGTTACTTTAACACCAGATTTGAGAACCAGCACACAATTTCTCCACATGAAGAGTAATTGTCCCCTCTCCTTTAAACTGTAACATCATCCCATCAGTTTCCAGAAGTAATAGAAACAGCAACTGATAAATTTATAATGGTCTTATGAAGGTCTGCACCAGTCAGTCAGTTGCATGCAGAAATAGTGCATTTTAAAGTTTGACAGCTCCTTATTATAAAAAAAAAACAAACACCAAAAAACACCAAAAAAAATATCAACAAAACCTCTCCTTTCTCCCCTAGCTGCTGTCTCTCTCCAGGACATGGAGCCAAATGAGGACTCCTAGTTGACAGTGTTTTCTGCTCTTCCATTTTCTACATAATTTCTCCCCAAGTTGAATTATGTCCCTGGCACATGATGCCACTGCCCAAGCAATCAACCAGTCTGCAAGTGTTAAGATGGTATCAGTTTATCACCAGTTCACACTGAAACTAGAGGGTGACACCAGGCACTAGGCACTGATTAGCTAAAAGTTGATCTATTCTGCATATGCAATAGATACTGAAGTTGAAAATCTGCATGACCATAATGTATAAATACCATTTAGGGGAATTTTCACACTTGCCTGTTTACGAGATCTCATTGCTGCCTCTTCTAATGTTTCAGCAGCCTCAAATTTGCCCTGTCGCCTGTAAAGTGCCCCAAGGTTCTTTAAGGTAGTTGTTACTGTTGGGCTATTTAAAGATAAAAAGAGAGAAACATTTATATGTTAATATATACATATATATACACACACAATTCACTAACTAATAAAAACTTCAATATAGTATTTATCATAATTTTTGTAATTACCTAATAAGTCACTCTTGAAATATACTATATTGTACTTCATGTAGATTGGAAAATGTTAACCCTTGTGGGGAACAGTCCATCTCCTCTGCCCCCACATAAAACTAAACAAACCCCCCTTCAAAGTGCAATAACAGCTCACACTATGACTAGTCAACAGCCCTGAAGTAACCAGGTGGAAGTAACCAGCCTCTAGACCTGCTTGAGAAAAAAGTGCAGTGCTATATCCTTGCATTTCTCAGATGCATCTCAAGGTGAATACACAGCTCTGAGTGCATCCAAATGAATAACTGTGAAGCTTTCAGAAAATTCCCACTCGTTCACACAGTGACCATTACTGTAGCATGTGTCAGTCACAAAATGAATTAGCAGTTCCTTTTTTACATAATATCTATTTGAAGTTTCTATGCATTCAAATTACACTTGAACAATAGAGAAAATAAATAAATAAACCACACATTCCATTAACAAGTCTCACACTCCAAGAAGACATGTTTGTTTCAACAACACAATGAGAATTAGCTTAGTCACAGTATTGTTGTGTGAAGTTTTGCTCCAGTGACAGCAGAGAAAAGATCTCCTCATGCATTAAAATGAACTACTACATATAAAGCAAACCAACAAAATATATTAAATCCAGAGTTCAGGATGGAGAAAAAAAGCCATTTTCAACATCCTGTTGCTTCTCCAATACAGGAATTCAAACACTGAAGAAATCAAAAACCCACACTGAACAGTACTAGGTGCAAGGGTTTTTTTACGTTGTACCACCTGCACGTTAAAAAAAAAAGACAGATAAGGAACAAAATTAAAGCAAACAAACAAATATTTCACCAAACATGAAACAACCTGAAGTCCTGATTTATCTTCTTCCATTTTAAAATACACATTGTTGTTCACACAAAACTATATTCTTCAAGCCTTAGAAACTCAAGTAATGCTGAATTACAGCAGTTTAACTTTGTTTTCTCATGCCAGCTAGAAAACTCACGACTCATTTACGTGCACAGTCTCCTTTTTGCTTCTGGCCTTCCCTAGAGGTCTTGCTGGGACAGGGAGGGCAGGTATGCCAACCAACAGTGTAAAAAGAGAGAAAGGTGACCTACTAAGGACTGCAAGGAACTCAACTGGTGAATTTTTATGTCACTTCCTAGATCCAACCAGCCTAGATTAAAAGCAGTCTCAGAACTTGGAAACTGCTGCTGTGTTCCTGACACGTAGTCTTGGGGCCTCAATTTTTGTACTATAAATTTTATAGTCCTAAACAAGCAGCTGGCTTGGTTTCATTTTTAAACATGCTTTGACCTGACACTTCTGGATACTGGGTATTGCCACACTGCTTTTCCTGTAAAGAAGTTACCCACCTGTCAACTTTGCAAGCTTTGTACCAGCCACCATATTCTCCAAAAGATGTGCCATCTTTTTGCTTTCCCTAAAACAAAAGTAACATCAAAGTAACTGATTTGTAACTTAGATAAAAGTTAAAAAAATTATTTATGACAATGGCCTTACTTTGCATTCTTCCCTCTCTTCTGCATGCATCCAAATAGGCTTATTTTCATCTAATGAAACAGAAGAAAATAAATTATAGAAGTAGAAAACTAAAAGGTATTCATAGTTTGATTTTCTGAAATGAAGTGTGAACCAAGGAATTACAGTATTACCACCACAAAAAAAAGCTTACTGTCCACACTACAAGCACCAGATAAATAAAACATGCATATCTTTGTTTATAGGTTTACAATTCTGTCTCCTTTTCTTATCTGCCCTTAGAAATAGTTACTTCTGAGAAGCTTTGAAGTCAGTACATGCTGCCATTGATTTGTCATGTGCCTAGTCCTGTGCTAGAAAACATGCATTTATTTATTTTATCTTAACAACTGTTTTGACATCTACTAAACAGTACATATGCTACTGTCATGGAATGCAATGAAAATTCTTCAGTGTGATTTACAGTTAATAAAATGTGTTTGATTTCAATGTACAGTGTAATTCACAATTTGAGGGTATCTTCTATGTTCTTTAAAAGTATTAACAGAGGTTTCGTATTAACAGTGTATTTACTATTTAATTCAAAATCCTGTGCTGACTTTTTCCTGTGACTGGAAATTTTTTTTGCCCCTATAAAAAATACCAAGATTTGTTTTGGTTGGGCATAATATAAATTATACCAGAAGTACAAGCCATAAAACATAAACCTACTAAGTCTACCTAAGAAAAACTTAATCAAACATTACTGCTAAATCAAACATTACCGCTGCATCTTACACTTTCTTATGATGAGTGCACTTCAACATATCTCTAATCTCACTTTCAAGTCTACCTCAAGCAGACAGTTTTAATCAGGATACTATTAACTTCCTGCGTATTTTATTTCATTATAACTACAGAAATGAAACACACAGTCAAATCTAGGGACTCAGTTTCTTACCATCTACAGAGCCAAACTCCCGTTCATGAGCGCGAGTAAGAATCTCTTTGTATAAAGTTTCTGCTTGCTTAAATTTGCCCTGTTTTAGGTAGCAGGATGCCTGAAAACAAAATATCCCCAAAATACAGATCAGCACACTTTTTTTTCTTGATAAATAATAAACACATGCTGAATAAAGGTGTATTTCAATTCAACAGAAAATTTTACTTTTTCTTAGGTTTACTTTCTAAAAGGCTTACCAGGTTATTCTTTGTTTTTGCAACATTTGGATCATCTGGTCCCAACTTAGTCTGGTAAATCTCCAGTGCCCTCTGATAGTAGTATTCAACCTCCTCATATTTACCCTGGTTCTGGCACAGTAAAGCCAAGTTATTCAATTGTTTGGCAACATCTGGGTGATCTTTCCCCAGAACCTGAAAATTAAATACGTTAATTAAAATTTAATTAAACATTAAAAATTTGAATTAAAACACTCTCCAATCATTGTATCAGGGTTTAGAAATGCATCATTTAGAAATACCCCGTTAGTTTTTATTCCTCATCAATTCAACATGAGCATGACAAAAGCAAAATTTGCTTTTGAAAGTATTCAATTCTGTTACAAACTGAGAATGCTGCAGAACAATTCCTAACAGGAATAATGTCAGCAGTATAATAACATTATATGCAGGACATCATTAAAACACGCCTGAAGAGGCAGGCAAGTCTCATGGGCTAGAATAAATATCTACATAGCCACAGAATAATCAAAGGGGAAAGAAAAGGGTAAAGAAGGTTAATTACAAAATACAGAATTTAGAATATACAGAGTGCTCAAACAGCTCTGTAGGACTACAGGACTACTGTTTTGAATTTCAGACATTGTTAACTACTAGGGTATTGCTAACTCCATGGCTTATCTAGCAGATCTACCCAACCAAAACACGAAAGTGGTTAACTTTGTCCTCTCCCTCAAAAAAATCCATTCAAAGCTGCTGTATTCTTTTAGTCAATACCTTTTCTCTGATTTCCAGAGCTCGCTTACACAATGGTTCAGCTTCTTTGTACTTTCCCCGTTTACCATAAAGTACTGCAAGATTGTTTAGAGTTGCTGCCACCTGTCAACAGCAGAGAAATATTAGTTACACTGGAATTTGCTGATATAAGAATCTGACAAATAAGCACATCTGCAATGCACTGAAGTTTTCAATTTTTTCATGCACAGGGCAGACCTCTTGAAATTTGTAAATGAAGAAATAATTATTATGGAATGCATACATACACAAATAAGGAAATTAAATACTTTTGCTTCATTGTGAAAATGTCATTTAGTGCATACATTTTTTTCATAAGTTCTTCTCTTACAAAGTTACCTCCCATATACACACCCAGAGCTGCCCAGCTTCACATAGGTTATATAAAGTGAGATCTACTAATTTTAAACGCTATGTACAAAAGCTTGATTTGTGTTTCATTTGAAAGCAGCAGTGAAACAAATCAGAAGTACACCTTCAATCTGAATTTAATAAAGTGATACGAGTAAGCAAATTAACATCTTTCTTCCCAAATTGATTTCCCACAGAAAATCCATGCAATCCCAATCAACTACGTGCAAGTCATCCATGATGAAACAGCATTAAATGTAACGCTCAAAAGGTATAAGAATGTTTCACTGTGGCCTCCTACCTGTACTGTTTAGAGATAAGCCAGGTCTTAAAAACTTTCCTGTTGAGTTTAATATTAGAATGAGTTGAAAAAAATTCAGTGCAAAACACAACAAAAAACATGGTATTGGATATATACAAACCGCTGGATGATCTTTGCCCAAAGTCTTTTCGCGGATAGCCAAGGCATCGTTCAGGAGATTTGCTGCATCTTTGTATTTGTTCTGGTCCCTAAATTTTGAAGAGTCATAATTAATAACAGGGATTCAGAAAACAAAGTAAAAAATTAAGCCAACTTCAGTACAGGCCTAAAGATGCTAGTACAAAAGAAGAGTAATTGAGAGTATATTCCAAAATCAGGAAGTAAAAATGTAAAGGGTGCAACTGTAGTTTGCTGGTTGAGGAGTAGCATGCACTGCTTCCAACTGCTGTCCTGTTTATACAGGATAATCTGTAGGTGGGTTATCAAGACATGCCACCTCAGGAAAAAAAAAAGAAAGTATCAAAACCAGGTGCATTCCTAAAACAAAGGCAAAGGCACAAATGCAGCAACTTGTTTTGACTTTTAAGTATAGGGAGACATAAATATTAAAGGACCCTCTTGAGGGTTTTAATAAAAAATAGGTGATAGAAAGTAATACAAGTCATATTAGTCTCAACATTAAAAGGTTGTAGCCAAATATTTTACTGATACTCATCTATGTCAGAATACAAACCTGTACACCAAAGCAAGTATATTCAACATAGTGGCAACATCAGGATGATCGTGACCCGAAGTCTTCTCCAGATCTTCAAGAGCTTGTTTACAGAGAGGCACGGCAACCTCATATCTACCTTGGGAAGCATACTGAATAACAAGATTATGAAGGGTCCTTAATCTTGCTGGAATTTCATAGCCACCTTGCTGGGCAGCAGCTGCTGCACTGCTATGCTGCTGTTGAACTGAGAGAAATCAAGAAAAATTTAAGTTGTTTAAAAGATGACTGTAACAAGAAGCATCGCATATTACTGCTCAGTGACAAAAATCAGACTCACTGGATCTTATTTTCTCAAAACAAATTATTACTATTAAAATGTACTTCAAAGCAGTCATGCTGTCTTGAGCCATGACAGTGAAAATATCATATTATTCTTCACTTTCTGCCCAGAATTGTATGAATATCATTTTATACTTCTGTTAGCCTGAAGAGCCAAATGTAATAAACCAGTGAAAAATGTAGGAAATTATTTCAGCTCAGCAAATCATTAAAAATTCTCAAGAATATTTCATAGTTTTGCACTGAGAAATATCAATATTTCCCACTGCAAAGAAACATTAACATAGACAAGTCAAATAACATGCAGAAATGCTTAAGTGGTTTGTCCTTCTTCCTTTACTCTCCATCTCTAAACATACACGGGTTTTTTGCTGTATCATCTTTGTGTGCTACTTCAAGGAGTATTTAAAGTTGGCACATAAAGGATTAAAGCAGCTTGGATCCAACAAAAAACTGTTGGAAGAGAAAAGGCACTGAGTCATCAAACTCAATGTCAACCTTTAGACTAACTAACTCTTAAGGCTTAGCCAGTTGTTTTCCACCAGCACCTAACCTTTGGTTGTTGCAACCCTCATCCTCCCACTGCTCCCAAAAATCTACTACCTCTTTTCTCTTCACCTGGGAGATTTCTGGGAAGACTGAGAAAACTCCCTCTTATTTTCATAACATTCTAGACAACACACAGGATAAAGCTCCAGCCACAAGCCTCACTTTCTTATCTCATTTCTATTAAGCAAAAACACTCTCACGTCAGGAGAATCGTGCAATTCCAAACCTACACGCACAATCACTGCCTACCAAAGCACTGAAGCCTTTCAATATTTGTCCTGGAGATTGAGGGAATTACTAAAATGACAACTTTGTATTTTATAAAGCAAAGTAAGGTAGATTGACTATGTAGGAATATAGACAGCTTTGTCATTCACCTTTCCTACTACAAAATTCTAGGGAAGGATGGATGAGCTCCAACTCAAGGAGTTTATGGTCAACACTAACCTCTTCTAAACTCTTCAAGTCTTCCTTCCACTGCTGGCTACAGATATAGCTTTACCATGCTATCAAAAATGCACGCATGTACGCATCCATTTCAAAGGAAATTTGAAACCCAGCTGATTACAAAGGCAGGACCCTTCAGGCATTTTTCTCAAGTAATTTGCCTACTAAGAATCATTATCATACTAGGACACTGCATATATACTACAATACAAATACATTATATAATACCAGCTTTACAGCCATACAGAAAACATAACATTTCACTAAGCAAGGTTTATCTATTGGCTTCTTTCAATCATGCTACCAAACCTCCAACTTCACTGGATATTCATCAGTTCTTCTGACCTGAAGACAATACTTCTAGAATTAATAGTAAAACTAAGGAAGACAATCTTAGCAAAGGACAAAAGATTGTATGAGAAAGACTACATACTGAAACGTGCCCCAAAATGTTAAATCAGATCAAGAATTCACCATCTGGGCAGACCATCAAAAAGCTTCCATGTTTCAGAATCTGCCTCAGACATTTGAGACAAACCTCTTCCATTCTGAGGCCCGCAGGAAAGACCACGGGACCGATTTTGAAGTCAGTCCCAAGAACTTTACAATAGCTAAAAAAACTGTTTAAAAACCTAGGCCCCAGTTCTGTACACATCAGTGTATAGAAGGCGTATCAGTGACTGACTTCCCTATTCTAGCAGAGCCATTCACCACTCTGCCATGTTCCAGGGAACTACAAGTATAGATTAATTTTTGTATAGAGTATCTTTATATTCTGCATTACAAAAATACACTAATATTGTAATTTTAAGTGCACTTACTTCCTTGTCCTTGATCATCTTCATCATTGGGAAATAAGTCATCCAAAGGCTCTTTGGTGGAATCTGTATCTTTATCCTCCTGTAGAACAAACCCAAACAAATTGTTACACTGAAATCTAAGGCAAAAAGGGACAGTCCATTTAATCAGCAATATTCAAGGAAAAACTCGCATACAGAACTCAGAATTAAAAATAACATTTCTCAGAGAAGTTTTATGAAGGTCTTAATGTTCAAATGTATTTACACAATCTGTCCCAAAACAATACAGGACACCTTCAGAAGAGCCAGGAATAGAAATCAGGTCTCCTACATTTCAGTCTCAATTTAAGCACACAAGAACACATTTGGTATTCTTACAGAGACATTATACCTACTGAAAGTACCCACTGAAGGGTGAGAGCTGCTAAATATAGAATTGTCCACTGCACTTTTTTAGCCGTAAGCGCAGTTATAGATGAGCAAGAGGAATAAGGAGACCTCTATTTCTGAGTACTCAGATTCTGCACAAAAAAATAGATTTTGCAATTGTAATCTGTAAGGTTCAAAACAGACAAACAAAGAAAAAAACCACAACTAAACACTTAAAATACTGTTCATCTCCAATAGTTTCCTTCTGGAACCATAATAATCTCTCAGTGTGTATCCCACAATCATGAAAAATAAAAGAAACAGATCACCCTCAATTCTGTTTCTTAAATGTGGAGTCTACACAATATAAATAGGTGAAGTTCTCAGAAATGTTAATCTCTGTAAGGAAAAACCCTAGGAGCAGAACACACTCCTATTTTTCTGGCTATGTATCCAACACCTTTTTGCACAAATGAGAAAAAGACAACTGCTGCTGCTGGCATTCAAGTTCAATGGTGGAAGAGTGGGTGCTCTGCAAAAACAGCAGATTGATGAGACGAGAGCTCAGATGGGAAGTTCACAATTTCAAGTGTGCCAATTCCAACCTCATACTGAGTATATGCAAATTACTATTTTCAAAGGCTGACAACAGACTGTTCATGTGGTTAGTGAGACTAGACAGATGCTTTGCTTACTTTGCCCCTATTTGCCCATTACACTTCAAAGAATGCTGCTATTCAGGCCATCAGCAGATTACAGTTCAAGAGTTAGCACACCAAAATCCCAATATTCCCTCCTCCTGCTCCTTTTGTAAACAGGCCTCACTGGTAGTATCCAGCTACAACTACAAACTCATGAAACAACACTGAAAAGTTCTGTGTGCAGCTGACCAAACCAACTCTCACTACTCACAGAACGTTAATAAGTATTTAGTCAAGCAGTCAGTTAAGCATGACTAAAATGTATACATTTTCAACCATTATGTTGGAGTAATTGGTTATGAAAAACTGCTCTTTTACACAACACGGTTGAGAAGGTCTGAATGCACAAGATGAAGTCTCTCTCTATAGTGCCAACTAACTTAACAAAAAAACCCAAACAAACTACAAGGGCAAATAATTCAGATGTCTTTTAAGGTGAGAAGTTACTTAATTTTCTCTCTTAATATAGGAATACATAACACAACAGGCTAGCTAAACACAACTGAAAATATGCAGATGACCACAATGTCTGGCAGAAAGTAATGAAAGAGGATTCAATAACATCCTATCTTAGTGTAAATTCTAAACAGATATGAAAGCTACACACTGATTTCACTAGATAAAAATGAAATATTTTTCTTGCAGTCAAAATAAGTGAAGTCCCCGATGTACTTAGAATCTCTGCTAGTTTACATGTCCCAGCTATTCTAACTGTTGAATTTACATGAGGAAATTTTTGGCTTGAAGTTTAGTTCTTTATATTTTAAGGTAATACGATTGTAAGTATTTATGGGTTTTGATCCTCCTATATATTCTATTATATACAGTGAAAAATTTACTCTTTTATGAATGAACTGAACTCTCAGAATGTTTCTGCAAACTATCTGACACTGGTACAAGGTGAGCGTTTTTATGACAAGTTCATATTTTAGAGACAAATAAAAAGCTTGTATCTGTCATTTCTGTAACTACGTAGATAACAACACATGTTAGTGTAAACTGCTTTTTACTATACAGCTACTTACTGATGGTGAAATATCATCATCGTATTTTTTTAACTGATTCATGAATTCTAGATGCTTTTTCTCTTCCTCCAGTTGAGCCACAGACTGCTCACTCTTCTGTAGTTTCTGTTGTGTATTGGCTAGCTCATCCCGTAGCCACTGATTTTCCTGGCATAGCCGGCGAACCTGAGCACGCAATTTCTGCTTCTCTGATTCCACTGCATTTAAGTGGTTTGACAAGGCCATCATTACCTAAAAAGTAGAAGGTATCACGTGATATATTTCCTCTAGAATGCAGTCCTGTATTTAACATAAAAGCCTTTTGTAATTTAAAACCTACGTTAGATGCGAAATCTGGTAAAGATTCTCTTCATGTATCTGGTTCTCATTTTTCCTCTAAACTTTTTTTGCCACAGCCACAGAAATCATTGTTCCATTAATTCAAAATGGAGAAGTAATGCTTTTAACTTGAAGGATCACAAAAATAACCTAAGAATACAGAGCTCTCATTTAGGAACGTTCAGACAGAAAAGGATTCATACACATCCTCACAGTTCACAAAGACGAGCACCTTAGCATAATGCTAACATTCCAAAGGGATAACTACAATACTGAGATCTCAAATGCACAACTGAACACACAATTTTTAGAAGCACTTTATGTATATCATATCATAAGCTTGAGCACACAGACACTCCCTGTGTTCAAACGGCCACATTAGGGACAAAAAAATAGAACAGAACATAAAAGTGGACTATCTGCTTGGGGTTTTTGTTAAGTAAAGTTACACGAAAAAGGAGCTTAAGTGAAAGCCAACCACTAAACACAGAAGATACTCTTCCTTCACTGTTCATGTAAACTCCCACTGACACAAGCAGAAAATCTGCCAGCAACACCAGGGAGCACTGCTTGTAAGAATGGGCAGCTGGCGATAATAAAAATTTTATTTTAGATGAGTTTGACATCCTCAAGTTATTAGCATTTAATCCTCTCAAATTCATGTTTCTTTAAAACAAAGTTACCTTGAAGTGTTTTTAAACCAAGTATTTTATGTGAAATAGATGGTGCCCTTAGCTGAAATCTCAGGTTTCAAAAAAACATATCCAGCCTTTGAAAACTACTTTTTCCTATAAAAATAAGATAAAACTCCAGGTATCTTGTTTTAATACCAGTCCAAATCTCTGGACTTCAGGACCTGCCTATTTACATATTCAGAAATTGTTAATACTTTAAATTCCTTGGCCTATTCAAACAGTGGCATTTGTAACATCAGGAAAGTTGTGATAATAGGGTCAACATACTAAAACTACACTCTACAAGCTATACTGGCGAACTAAAATCCTTTGTAATCCTACTCTCTAGAATTAACTTAAAGTTTTATTACTCCTTCAGCAAAGTCAGTTTCATTTTTGTGGAAATAACACTATGACTTGAAGGTAGGTCTGATAACACACACAAAAAATCTACAAAATATTTCCATCGCTGAATTTAAATCCTGCAAATCAAAAATACACTACAGTTTTCTAGCCAAAGCATGGAGAAGGAGTAAGCTTATCATGTCTGACAGCAGTAGTTTGAAGTTCAATTGCTTTCCTATCGCAGTAAATGCAGACTTCTTGGCTCCTTGCTGCCACAGTTCACAAAACGCCATAAGGGGCAAACAAGGTAGTGACATCTGCAATTGAGGCTGCTGAATCCAACTGAACCAAAACCTAGAACTAGCTTTTTGGAGTCCCAGTACCATCTCAAAGTTAGGAGACAGAAGCTACTCATTCACTCACAGATCTCCTAGAAACACATTAAAGTTACCTCAACTATTGCAATTTTATTCCATGTATCTTCTAGTATTTTCTTCCAATACAAGGGATCAAAGCTTGTACAATATACTAAGGCCTGACAGTCTACCATAATGTCCAGGGGTTTGACATTCCTATGCCTGGTAACCCATATTTGTTCATTCTCTCAGGCCTCAATTCACCATAATCCAATGCACACAACTTCCAGATCCCCAAACAGTAACTGCCCAATCCAGAGGAGAAGACTGAGCACAGCTATAGACCAATACAAAGTCTATCAATATAAAATTAACTAACTGAAATTTTCAACTCACTTGCAAACATCCTGCCATATTATCCCGGTGTCTGTGTCATATCACATTGTTTCAGGTTTTGACCTAGTACAAAATATCCTAAAGCCATGCTGTATATATAGTTCTGATATCCTGGCTAAACATGCATCTTCTGACTCATCTTCTGCAGATGATACCTTTTCACAGTAATCAACTCAGAGTCCTTTCTTTAATGCATCTGTGAAAATTGTTCAGATTCTGTACCTAACCTTTAAAATGTTTAGATTCAGTTTAGGTTTAGTAAAATGTTCAATAAACATTGGAGATTCTTAAGCCCCACAAGCATCATGAGGTATAAAGAACCTCAGAATCAAGGAAATATGAACATGAATTTAAAGTTACAACAGAGCTCAAACATTGAGCACATTCATTTCACACATTCATTTCTTTGTGTGTCAGACCTCTCTATGCAATAAGAGTTAAAACGCCAATGCTCTGTTCCTGAGCTGCTCAAACATTACCTGCCGTCTCGATGAAGTAAAGAGGTGCTCAGTTATGAGCTTCAGTGCTTTAACACTGAATGCATAATTAGTTCTGTAAAACTGCCAGTCAGACAGTAGCTACCTCTATTAATTACAGCAGTCTTTCCCCCTTAACATACAGTAACAATAACATCCCAGCATATTACTAATATTCAGTAAGGCAAATGTAAGTCCTCAGAGTCTGAAATGCTTTATTTCTACTGCAATTTTACCTGTGCTTCACTAAGGCCAAGCTCCAGCATTTCCAGTGACTTTCGAATCATGTTTGATTTTTCTTCAACCAGATTAGTTTCATCATCTTTCTTCAAACATTTCAGCGTTTCAAGTAAGCTCTGTAAAATTGAATTGTGTTCATTCTTCAGCGCCTCTAGTCCATTAATCACTTGCTTAGTTTTGGCAATTATTTCATCTTGAGTAAGCTTCTCCAACTTCTCTTCCTTTAAATACACCATTGTGGACATGTTTTCATACATTCTGAAACAGAAGAGTACACTAGTTAACCCCAAAATAAAAATAAAAACAACAACCAAGTTATTTATGACTGAATAAACCTTTCCTTTAAGAAGTAATTAAAACATATGCATTGAAAATGTAATATCTTTTCACATCTTTTACAATGTTTTTAGTCCTGGGTTTGAACAGTGTTTCAAGTTTTTCAGTTTCTAGTTCAAGAGTTAATATTAGCACTAATTCATAAGCCAAAAAACAGCTGAAAGTAAAGTTTGTATTACATTGCAGCAGAACAAGTTCTAATGAGCACTGAAGAGTCAAGCTGCATCTGCAGGATGTCCAAAAGCAAATCCTTCTGCATGCTTCAATGTTTTGTAGTTACTCTACACCAAAGGTGGGAGATGGGTGTCTGCATCTAAGTAATCTATGTATAGATGTGGTTATAAATAAATTGTAAATGTTAATCACCACGGTAGAAGTTCAATGAATTCTAGGTGATTAATACAGATAAACTAACAAACACTCAATTCACTGTTACAAAAAGAACACACAAAATCAAGGAATTGATACCAAAATCTGCATTAGGCCTGGCAATGGTCATGTCTTCATGCAAAAAATATAAAACAGCCCAGGCAGTACTCATCCAACATATGAAATCCAGCAGACACTAATTTCTTACTATAAGGAAAAAAAAGGCTGTCAGATCATAGACAGAATCAAGCACACAGCCCTGGCTGAGTACACCTAAATTGCAATTAATGAAGGCTAAGCCAGCACAGAAGCTTTTGAAGAAGGGAAAAGCAGTTTTAAACCCACTGGGTCAAAAACATGCTTAAAGCCCATCACAACAGTGGACCTGCTTTGTAAATAGATGGTTTGTGTCTCAACCTGGTGTGCCAGATTTTTAAGCCACCTCATTCTAAACCAAATGTAGCAATATGTTTTCACTGCCTCAGAGCTACCAGCACAAGCAACAATACTGGAGCTGGTGTCCAGTCAGAAGCTACTTCAAAACACAGATTGATTTGAAGGCCCATGCAGCCTAGGAAAGTGATTCTAAAGCCTCCACTAGTGAAATCTCTCCCACTGACAGGAAAATAATAAATCTTTAAATAACTAATAATTAAACAAACAAGCCTGCATAGGCTTTGTAGGGTGCTTGTTTAAAATGATCTCTGTATAAAACACTACTGAGAATTGGGACAGTGTTCAGAGTTGTATAGCTTGTGCTTGGGAGAACAATTGGAAAACAGAACAGCATGATAAATTACATGTTTGTTATCAAACCTGATTTTTTGTAGGAGTAAGATTATTAAGTAAACATCTAATGCCTTTTAAGAGTAGCATGGAGGTTTGGTGGTATTTCAATGAATTTTAAAAAATATATTATACAAAAGGGCATTACCTATTCAAACAAGACCATATTTGAATACACAATCATACAATTAGTTTACACACTCTAAGGCAGCAAACCCCATGCCGGAAGCAGACATGCATGTATATCGAGAAAAAGAGACAAATCCTACCATGCTTTCCCACTGTCACTTTTCAAAAATGTTCACTCTTTCTGTCTCTGTTTTTCCCCTACAGAAAAAAGGGCATATTCAAAGCCTTCTTAAGCTCTTGTTTAGCCTGTATACAGTTCATTTGCTGCAAATTTTGCAGGAATTCTAGTTTCAAATACCAATTTTTAACTCGGTGTACAACTAAAAACAAAACAAAAAATTAAGGTGCACAAAGGTATATAGTTGGAAAACAGCATTTTGGATCAGAGAAAAAAATATGCAATGCAGCCAGAGTTACAGACTAGCCAACTGGCTTAAGCAATTTACATATTGTATTAAATATGTGCCAGTGTAGATCTGAAGTGTTACCATCCTGATTTCCTTACCACAACATAGACTATGCTAAAGTACAAAAGTAAATTAACACTTTCCAACACATTTTTTTAAAAATCAAGCTATTTCCTTCAAATGCACAAAAATTAATGAACTTGGACAGATCAACATAAAAAGCCCTACATCTACTTAAGAGATTTTTTCAGAATTTTGTAATATGAACTCCCATCAAAGAACCAGATTGAGAACAGCATGAAACTTAAACAAAGAAAGCTTAAAGAAAGCAAAGCCAAGCCTACTGTAACCACTGGGATAATCTCATAATATGCAAACAACTTAAACTGATTAGAGATACAGCAGCTTAAGTATTTTGTTATTCATTAAGCTTTCAGACCATTTGCAGTAGTAATGCTGACAGCACAATTTATGCCAACATTCTCCTACAGACATACACACATCAGCACCAACTACTTAAGGTCTTCAACTCATATTTAAATATCTCTTCAATATAAATAGCTTTTCCTACTCAGCTACTTTAAAAAAAAAAAAAAAACCAACAAAAAAACCCACCATCATTTCCCTGCAGTTCACCTCAGAGAATTATTAAACCAAAATATGTAATCATATGAATCCTTCTTTCTGTAGGAAAACTTACCAAGAACACTTTTCTAAAAAACCCACTATTTTTTTCATTGACCAAAGATTAGTATGGGTCCTAAAGACAAACAAATAAACCAGTTCTACTTTTTAAATTTTACTCCCTTATTATGTATCTCTAAGAATTCTCTTCCTCAGTATCAGTATTTTCATTATTTTCGAGTCAGGTTTCAAGTACTAAAACCTTGGAAGAGATATTAAAAATGTATCTAGTGTCTAATCATTACAGTTTTCACATACAATTTAAAATACAATAAAAAACACAAAGCAAAAACTGAGGTCTGTAAACTGCTGTGTCAAGTCTAATTTTCCCTAAACTTTTTCCTGTGAATATACAGATACAAGGCAGAATAGCTGAAAATTACAGAATGTGTCTGCATACAAGAAAGAATAAATAATCTTCCTAACAGTAACAGCTACTAGATTGGCTCAAGAAGCTACAGGCCCCATCATCTACAAGTAATGCAAATTCCAAAAAGATGTAGGATATACTAAATTGAGCTTTTTGTATATCAAATATATACCTGTCAGTTCACTGTTTCATAACAATAATCAGTCTACTCAGGGTTTTTAACCCTAATTTCACTCTCAGTTTCTCCTGAATTACATGGCAAGGCTCAGCATCCTACACCTGGCATGCAGTTGTTTCATTTTGTCTTAGCTACAAATTACAAGTCATTAATTTCCTGCTCAGACCAAGAACACATCTCATTACATTATGGAACGCGACATCTTGAACTTCTACACGCTTTAACTGCTAGTCTTCATGATGTGGAAAACTACTTTGTCAAACAATCCTCTAAAGATCACAAGCCTTCCAAGCACACACACACACACACACAAAAACAAAACAAAAAAACAGTCTGCCAAGGGACACAGGTAGAACGTCAAATGGTACATTAACTGCACCTCTTCCTAACAACGCAGCTCGGTGACACAGACTAGTCAGAAATGGCGCGGATGAATCACCCACAGATGTCCTTCATATAGTTAGAAAGGACTTGGACAGGACTTGGATAAGAAACGCTGTAGCTTGAATACAGTGTTGTTATGGTTTACAGTCAGAAATCTCCAAGTCTGAAAAAACAACTGTTACTTTTTTATTTAATCTAACATGTTAATTTATCTTTCTCTGTGCAGCTATTTCCGCTACCATAAGATTTACTCCCTACCATAAGAAAATTGATAATCTTTTTCTGTTTGACTTGCCCCCCTTTTAATTAAAATCATCCTTTACAGTCAGGAATTTTATTCCAACACATTCATCTCTAAGCCCACAAAAAAAACAAAAGCAGCTTTTTCCTCTTGACACATTCAGGACTGTAGCCAAACTGCCAATGCTATCTATCACTCTTTTCATCATACTTGAATCCACATATGAGCCTCTACAGAACAGAAAAATCTTGAACTGCACCTGCAAAGTGTGTCCTGTTGGAGGTCAGACTTAAGGTATACTCACTGACCCAGTTCTATTAACAGAATACTGCTGCACTTCTGTACTGCCTCACGTTTCCACATACGTGATCTCAGAAAGCATCTTCACAACCTCACACACATACACACAAGCTACTTTAAAAATGACTCAGTGAGAGCAATTAGATGGCCAGCAAGAAGCAGGTAAGAAGATGGAGTTGCACATTACTGGCAACCAACATTAAGCTAAGGAGAAGTGCTTTAGAACAACCTGCTTGAAAAAAGAATTAACTCCTTGGAGTCACTTTTCTATCAACTTCCACCTACTTATCACCGGAATTAAAAACAAACAAACAACAAATACCCAAACTTTCCTGTACTCCATTTGCCACTCTTCAACTCAGAGCTAACTCTGAATGAAGGAGTCTGCCCACCACTTGATGCAAAATTAAGGCATGCAAGGTAAATACTACAAAAAGGACATTTCTAGTCCTCTTTCATGTCAAGAGCATATCCTGATAAAAGCTCAGAATCATGTTCACAATCTGACCTACAACCTTAACACCACAAGACATCCATAAGAATGACATCAGGTAAGCATGCTTGTAAGCAGAATGGACAAACACTCAGATTTTGTAAAGGTTTAGCATTTATAAAGGGACACCCACACATTTCTGAAGAAATGCACAATAAGCATAGGACAGCTTGACTAAAAAGTGTAAAGCACAAAAAAACTTGAATACTGGCAGAGATTTCCACCAGACTAACATGGCTTTTCTATTAAGACAGCCAAGTGCAGCCTACTCCACACTGCATCCGTGGGAAGAGACTACACGGCCAGCTCTGGAAAACACAGTCAGACTCTAGGAAACCCCAATGAGTATCAATAAGCCCATCCACTGCATTAAACTATGTTTAAGTGAAGAGGACTATGTACTTGTTTAGCTGAAGAACACAGCCAGTGTATATTTGCCTCAATAAATCTTGGAATATTTTAACATCACAGCTCTGTTAAAAAATACAAAACTAATGTCTTCAAGGGAAAACCTCTGAATTATTTAGAAGATTAAAAAACTATTCAGGAGAACAGCAAACTAGTGAGTTATACTTGCTAT